CCTTCCCGGGGTTCTAGATATGGTAATTGCAAACTGCAACTTTCATATTCCTCACATTTGCCTTAGTTGTTGAACCACTGTGGTGCATATTCGTTTAAACAATGGAAAAACTGACCTCATGCCCTGTGAATTTTTAAAAAAAAAAACAGAAAAAAAAGTATGAGGAAATGTTCGACTGGATTTAATGCTATTGAGAGGTCAGGTGGAATGAAAACAAAGAAGTGTTTATTGGGTTTGGCAATATGGAGGTCACTGACAAATTTAGCAAGAGGGACAATTTCTATAGAATAGCAAGCCCAGAAGCCACATACCACATGTGGCTTTATCCCCAATTCTCACAATAGCCCTTAAAGCTAAGGTTTGTTAACTTTATCCACATTATTAACCAATGAGCGTGACATTGAAGTCTGAAGCTCTGGAGCCCGAGGACCTGGGTTCAAACCTGGCTCCTCCCTTACCAACTATAAGTTATTTAACCAGGCTTTACCTCAGTTTCTTCATCTGTAAAATAAGAATAGTGATAATACATCATAGGGTTGTCTGAGAAGGGTGTTATTTAGTATGTGTGAAGCTATGTGAAGATTTGTTAAATATTTACTATACCTTGTCACCCTTCCCCTCGTGCAGATGAAGAAACAGGCTCTCAGGATTTTCTGTAGGTTCCAAGACTAATAGTGAAGGAGAAAGTATGTCAGCCCCATTCTCCTGGACTCCACACCCTGAGCTAAGAACTTCAGGAATGAGCCCCACTTAGGTACCCAGCCCTCAGAGCCAGGTTCCTTTGAGCAAGAGGCCTCTCTGGGAGGTGAGCCAAGTGGTCAGCAGGACCGAGTAAACAAGGCATACCCTTCTGGTGATACCTGGCCCCTCATATACCCAGAGACTGAACTGGTCATTTATAGATAACATGCACACTCCTTAACCAGATGATGTGAACACCCCTTTGAGTAGACAAGAACAATATACCCACATCCAGTAACTGGAGTTACTTAGTCACATGTTTCCAAACAGTATTATCATCTAGCCCCAACTTATTCACTCCTTTCACCCTGGTGATTATTTACCTATATCAAGGTTATTCGTTGTTATTGTTGTTGTTTAGTTGCTAAGTTGTGTCTGACTCTTTTATGACCCCATGGACAGTAGCCCGCCAGGCTCCTCTGTCCATGGGACTCTCCAGGCAAGAATACTGGAGTGAGTTACCATTTCCTTCTCCAGGGTATTTTCCCAGTCCAGAAATCCAACCCACATTTCTTACTTCTCTTAAATTGGCAGGCGTGTTCTTTTACCACTAGCGCTACCTGAGAAGTCCATTGTCTTCATATCTCCATAGCAATATAAAAATAACTTATGCTTTAATGTAAATTTTTTAAAACATAAAATTATGTCTATACTCTTATCATACAACAGGAACTGCACAAAATTCACATATGCAGGTTTATAACTTTGGGCAAGAACTTCAGCTCTCCAAGACTCAGTTTCCTCAACTGAAAGGAATATAACATAATAATAAATATCTTTAAAGTATTTTCTATGTGCCAAGTACTGTATGAACTGCACAAAATTCACATATGCCGGTTTATGACTTTGGGCAAGAACTTCAGCTCTCCAAGACTCAGTTTCCTCAACTGAAAGGAATATAACATAACAATAAATATCTTTAAAGTATTTTCTATGTGCCAAGTACTATATGAACTGTACAAAATTCACATATGCAGGTTTATGACTTTGGGCAAGAACTTCAGCTCTCCAAGACTGTTTCCTCAGCTGAAAGGAATATAACATAATAGTAACAAATATCTTTTTAAGTATTTTCCATGTGCCAAGTACTGTATATACTAAGTACTTTACAGGCCTACTTTATTTTAATCTCTCAGTGACCCTGTGAAATAGGAATGACTCTCATCATTATTTCCCAAATAAATAAACTGAACCCCAGACATGTGAAGTGACTTGCCCAAGGTCACTTCAGAAGAGATATGTAATCTGAACCCCGATTCCCAGCTGATCACTAAGCCAGAGCTCAGGCTCACCAGACTATCACCGGATCACAAGCTGTGCTCTGCAGTGCTAAGTTGCTCAGTCGTGTCTGACTCTGCGACCCTATGGACTGTAGCCTGCCAAGCTCCTCTGTCCATGGGGATTCTCCAGGCAAGAATACTGGAGTAGGTTTCCATGCCCTCCTTCAGGGGATCTTCCCGACCCAGGGATCAAACTTGCATCTCTTATGTCTCCTGCATCGGCAGGTGGGTTCTTTACCACTAGTGCCACCTGGGAAGCCGTCACCAGACTATAGTTGAAAGTAATTGAAAAACTAAAGTTAATGTATAAAAAGCACATAGTATCTGCTACACAATGTGGATTTGATCCCTGGGTCAGTAAGATCCCTTGGAGAGGGAATGGCAACCCACTCCAGGATTCTTGCCTGAAAATCCCCATGGACAAAGAAGCCTGGTGGGCTACAGTCCATGGCATCAAAAAAGAGTCAGACACAAGCTGGCGACTAAACAACAAAAAATTTGCTGCATAGATCTATTTGCCTGGTGGATAACTGGGCAATGAGAAATACCAGCAATGTGGGGAGGGGACCCCAGATGGTGCCCGACTGTGGAGGCAGCACAGAAAGTTGGGATCCAGAGAATAATAGTGTTGATAGCTAACGTATATGAAGGGTTTCTTTGCTTTGTACCTGGCACTGCACTAACTTAATCCTTGTAACAACCCTATGAAATGGGCAGTATTATTATTTCCATTTCTTAAGTAGAGAAACAGACACAAGAGATTAAGAAAGTTGCTGAGATTGCATAGCTAGTAAGTGGAGAAACCAGGGATCAAACCCCAGGCAAGGCTGGCTCTGAAGTCCACCTGCTTTACCATCCTACTATAGCTGATTCTGCAAAATTATACCAATTTTTTGCCCCATAATGTGGTCATATCACATCTAGGCATTATTGTTGAATAGATTTCCCCATTTTGTTGGAAATTCACTTGCTGTTGCTATAGTGTGTATGGTTTCTCTTAAAAATAAAAATGTCTAAAGGTGGGCAAAGGATCTGAGAGACAGTCTCTCCAAAGAAAATTTACAAATGGCCAATAAGGGCATGAAATGATGTTCAAATCAGTAATCACCAGGGAAATGCAAATCAAAACTACAATGAGCTCCTACTTCACATCCAAAAGAATGGCTATTATAAAAATAAAATAACAGAAAATAATAAGTATTGGCAAGAATGTAGAAAAGTTGGAACCCTGTGCATTGCTGATGGGAATGTATAATGGTGAAGATGTTGTGAAAAATGATTTGGCTGTTCCTCAAAAACTAATCAGAGTATTAACATATGGGCTTCTCAAGTGGCACTAGTGGTAAAGAACCCATCTGCCACTGCAGGAGATACAAGAGATGCAGGTTCCATCCCTGGTTTGAAAGAAATCCCCTGGAGGAGGGCATGGCAACCAAATCCAGTGTTCCTGTCTACAGAATCCCATGGATAGAGAAGCCTGGAGGGCTCTGGTCCATGGAGTCGCAAAAGTGTCAGATATAACTGAAGCAACTTAGCATGCATGCATACACTAGCAACTCCATTTCTGGGTATATACTCAAAAGAATTGAAAGCAGAGATTTTAATAAAGATTTGTACATGTTAATGGCAACATTATTCAGAATAGCCAAATAGTGGAAGTAGCCTGTCATGGGGTTAATTCTGCAACCTCCCCCCCAAATTCTTTTATTGAAGTCCTAACACCCAGTACCTCAGAAAGTGATTATGTTTGGAGATAGGACCTTTAAAAAGGTAGTTAAGGTTAAATAAGGTCATTGGTGAACAACTGAGCAATTAGGCACACACACATATATACAACACAGTATTACTGAGCCTTAAAAAAGAAGGAAATTTTGACACAGGCTACCAAATAGATGATCCTTGAGGACATTATTCTATGGTAAATAAGGACAGTCTCAAAATATTATATGATTCCACTTAAATAAAGTACCCAGAGGAGTCAAACTCAGAGAGACAGGAAACAAAATGGTGGCTGTTAGAGGCTGAGTGAAGAGGAAAATGGGGCGTAGATACAGAGGTTCAATTTGGGATGATGGAAAATTTCCAGAGATAGATGGTGGTAAAGACTGCAAAAGAATAAATTTATGTTTTTTAAGCCACTAAGTTTGTGGAAATTTCCTACAGGAGGAACAGGGAACAAATGTATCCTCCAAAAATGTTTATGTTTTCATTTTAGCAAGCAATTAAACTGGTTGGACCCAAACTAAAAAAAAAAAAAAGACTGCAAAACAGTATCAATGTACTTCATGTCACTGCATTGTACACTTTTAAAAAATGCAATGATAGGGGAGTACACTGGTTATCTAAGGGTTAGTATTTAATGCTTTCACTGCTGTGGCCCAGGTTCAATCCCTAGTTGATCCCACAAGCCAGGTGGCATAAACAAAAAAATTTTCTTAACTAGATAGTAATGATAAACCAGTCAAACCAGTCAATCCTAAAGGAAATCAGTCCTGAATATTCATTGGAAGGACTGATGCTGAAGCTGAAGCTCCAACACTTTGGCCACTTGATGTGAAGAGCTGATTCATTAGAAAAGACTCTTATTTTTTGAAAGATTGAAGACAGAAGGAGAAGGGCACAACAAAGGAAGAGATGGTTGGATGGCATCACTGACTCAATGGACATGAGTTTGAGCAAGCTCTGGGAGTTGCCGAAGGACAGGGAGGCTTGGAGTGCTGCCGTCCATGGTGTTGCAAAGAGTCGGACATGACTGAGCAACTGAACTGATGAAAAAGATAGAGAGAAAGAGAAAATGATGTTATCACCCAGAGCCCAGGAACAGCACACTCCCAAGGCTGGTATACCCCGAGCCTACCCTTGCTCCACAGCTTCTGCCCCTAACTATGCCCAGAGGCCCTACCAGAATTGGGGGTGGAGTTGGGGGATTCCTTCTCCCTTTCTTTCACCTTTCAGTCTCTGGCCAGTGGCTCCTATTAGAAGATTAGAAGATCCTAAAAGAAGCAAGCAGAAAAGAGATTCTGGGAAACGTAGTTTGCAGGTTTTCGACCTAGAAAACTTTAGAGGGGAAAACTGATTGATGACAGACTCTATCTAATTCATAAATTTTTAAACAAAGTGATTGGAAAGAAGGGACCAGCAGTGGGAAAGGAAATGAGGTTTTGAATCTCACAGGATTCCTGTGGACAATGTTACCTTCCATCAGCCGCAACCTCCAGGTTTTGTGGAACTGCTATTTACTAATCCCTGGGGGTATCTGGGGCTGTCAGTCAGGGAGGACGTTCCCTCCCACTCCACACGATGAGCAAAGGACCCAAACAAGTCAGTTCTCTCCCTCCTATCCCCTTGGACAGTGATTAATTCAGGGATAAGCACGTGATCCAAGCAGGTTATTCACAACCATTTTAGGGAATTGCTAGGCAAAAAAAGGATCTCTTGCTTTAAGTGATGATGAGGTATTTTGTTGTTGTTTAGTCGCCAAGTCATGCACAGTCATGTCCGACTCTTTGTGACTCCATGGACTGCAACACGCCAGGCTTCCCTGTCCTTCACCATCTCCTGGACTTTGCTTAAACTCATATCCATTGAGTCAGTGATGCTATCTAACTATCTCATCCTCTGTCACCCTCTTTTCCTCTTGCCTTCAATCTTTCCCAGCCTTGGATCTTTTCCAATGAGTCAGCTCTTCACATCAGGTGGCCCAAGTATTGGTGTTTCAGCTTTAGCGTCAAGGAAGCATCATGATGAGCTATAAGGACCCTACAAACCTGAAGGTGCTAGAACTATCTTCCTACTAAGGAGAGACGGCCTGCTTGGGAATATAACATCAGCTTCTTTTTCTTTTTTTGGTCAATGTCAACCATTGGATTGCGCTGGGAGAGGGATAAATTCAAAACCCAAAGACAGCTTCTTCTACCTCTTGCAAAAATTTTATCTTCAAAGCTTTCTCGTGTGAAATGCTATTGGTTTGGGTCTCTTCATTTTAAGCTTATGCAGTGGAGTATTTATTTTATTGTTTGATTGTTTTTTAACCCTAAATGCAGGTTCAGCCAGTTCAGTGATTTCCTTGTCTAGCACTTAGGTCATATTCAGGAGTTGCCCTCATGGTGCAGGGCCTTGCACTATAGACCTATGAGTATATGCTTTGGGAACTTCTGTAAATAATTGCCTTGGATGGGGTCCAAGCAGCTTTCTACTGAGTTCTGGTGTGTACTTAAGGTGTCTCTATGACCTGCCAACTGTGTGTGTTTGTTCGGTGATGAGAGAGGTCACCAAAGCCAGGAAAAACCTAGAAACCACAGCCTCTACCTCAGTCACTAGGCGACTATCAGAACACCTTATGTAGCAAATGCTTTTGGAGTTTCCTGTGCTTACAGTCACTAATATGTGTACATGCATGCTAAGTTGCTTCAGCCGTGTCACTAAGATGATATTTATATAACTGAAATTCTTTCTGTTGCAGGTGACAAAAAAACAATTCAAACTAGGCACATACGTGAATTTGTTGGCTTCTATAAATGAACTTTTTTTTTGGCTGCACCGGGTCTTCATCATGGCATGTGGGCTCTCTGTTGAGGTTCACGGGCTTCTCCAGTTGCCAAGTGTGGGCTCTAGAGCATACGGGCTCTACAAAGTACAGGCTCACTAGTTGTGGCTCTCAGGGTTGTCTAGGTGAGGAGCTCAGGCTTAGTCACCACAAGACATGTGGGATCTTAGTTACCTGACCAGGAAGCTAACCTATGTCCACTGCATTGGAAGGCAGATTCTCAATCACTGGACTACCAGGAAGACCCTGTAAATGAACATTTTAAGGAAATCTTCAGCCATGATTGGATCCCAATGCAGGAATCTCTCTCATCTCTAGAAGTTCTTGCCTTCCTTTTTCCAGACATCACCATTTTGTAATTCTATTCAAGCATCTCAGGCAAATAGCAGCCCAGTTCTTGGCCAGAGCATACATAGAGTGGTGTGCCATTTGGAAATGAATAAATGAAAGAGCACAGTGGTGATACACCAAGTATGGGGTGCAAGGAGCCATCTGCCCCAGCTGAAAGAGGAATTTTATCAGTGATGTTGCTTAGATAGAATTGCTTGCACTCGCAATAATAAAAAGCTGTTAATCAGTTTTGGGCTTCCCAGGTGGCACTAGTGGTAAGGAACCTGCCTGCCATTGCAGGAGACATAAGAGATGTGGGTTCAATCGCTGGTTTGGGAAGATCCTTGAAGGAGGCACAACAATCCACTCCAGTAGTCTTGCCTGGAGAATCCCATGGACAGAGTGGCTTGGCAGGCTATACAGTCCATAGGGTCACAAAGAGTCATACACAACTGAAGCAACTTAGCACACACACACAGTTTTTGTTACTTTTTTAAATTATCTACAGACAACGCTCCCCTTAATTCCTGCACCCAGGCCAAAGGTCCCTACCACCCTGACTTCGGTATATCACAAGATGTAGGAGTCCCTCCTGTCACTCAGCACACCTGCCCAAAGAGCTTATCATCTCCCACAGCTTCACCTGACACTTCCTGGCTGGTGGCTCCCAGACCTCTCTCCCCCAACAGCAGCATCAGCTGCCTGCCGAGCATTTCCACCTCAACAGCCCACTCTGATACTGAGCTCCACCTGGCTTCCTCCCCCGTGCTCTGACATCAGAAAATGCATCTCTACAAGAGCTTAAGGAAGCTATCAGGAATGCATGAGACACGTCCCTAACCTTGCAGGTGAGTCAGCAATGGCCTCCCTCACACTGCCCCTTTCAGAGGGCCTCTTGGTGACAAGACTCTGTGCTGGACATCCTAAGGGGCTGACCGAATGTGGCCTGACATTGACACAAATTGTTTATTCAAAAATCTTCACAAAAGTCCAAGACACACTGAGTCTCTGCTTTCCCTCGCAACTTCCCAGACAAGAAAGAGAACAAAACTCAAGTCATGTTCCCATGGGGGCTCCTACTTGTGTGGTGCCCAGGCTTGAAAGACTCATCAAGAAGCCCCAGAGAGGCCTTCAAGAAGGTGGTCCAGGTTAAGAATCCACCTGCCAATGCAGGGGGCATGGGTTTGATCCCTGATCCAGGAAGATCCCACCAGCCACAGGGCAACTAAGCCTGTGCGTCACAACCACTGAGCCTATGTTCTAGAAGTTCGGAGCTGCAATAAGAGAAGCTATCACAATAAGAAGCCCACGTACCGTAACTAGACAGAAACCTCTGCTCACTGCAACTAGAGAGAGCCCGTGCGTGGCAACAAAGACCCAGTGCAGCCATAAATAAATAAATAATTGGAGGGGCCTTCAGTGATGGCTGGGACCCACTGAGAGCAGTGGAGGCAGGACTTGGGGGTAGGAGCATCCCACAGAGTTCAATCACTCCTGAAATTTTTCTCCAGATCTGACCCCTAGAAACAGAATCTCAATGGGATTATTTGGATTCATTTCCACAACACCCCAAACTTTACCCGCCACCCCCCAATAAGGCTAGTTTCTATATGACATTCATTAAAACATTTACCAAATGCCCAGTGGTTTCTTTTACATTTATACACTCATCTGTTCTTCCCAACCACACTGTGAGGGCTAGAAGAGTTATTTTCCCACTGCAGAGAAGACGAAACTAAAGCTTGAGGATATTAACATGAGTTGGCTAAGATCTCACCAGTGGTGATTGGAGGAGCCAGGACCCAAACCTGGACCTGTGCTCCAAGGTCTCACATGATGCTCATTGGCAGGGAAGTCTGTTACCACCCTGGGTAGGACTAGGCCACTCACAAATGACTCCCCCCCTGGCTTGTCCCCAGTAGTCAAATGAGCACCCCTAGAGAGTCACCCACTTTGAGTAACAAAGCTAGGCTGTTGTACATTGGCTGGTGTGAATTCATTTACCATATCGCCTCCTGAGATCACAGCACCAAGGATGTGGGCGCCTTCCAGGAAGGAAAAGAAAGTACAGACAGGCCCAAGTGCTATGTGGAAAGGGGAGACTTGCAAAGTGGGCCCTCCTGGGAGACTGAACTCCTTAGGACATGGGGATTCTGACAGGAGAACCAGGACCTGCAAAGGGATGGTGAGAGTGCCTTCTGGCTATGTCTGAATTCTCTCCTCTGCAAATAGGGTCAGAGGTCAGAGGCAAGCATGACTCCTCTGACTGTGCTTATCAACCTGCAATCCCAAGTGAACAAGAGAAAGGACAAAAGCTATTCTATATGAGGTCATCACCAACTCTGCTTCTCTTCCCTAAATTCACTGACTTGACTCTGTGATGATTTTAAAGACATCTAAGTATTTGCCGTGCTTCCAGCCATTCATTCATTCATTCATTCATTTAAACACCATTGCCTAAGCACTCCCTGCTGGCTTCTAGAAAGCCAGCGAGACATGACCATACTCTCCAGGTCACCACCGACTTTCCAGCTTCTTCCCAAAACCCCAAACTCCCTGGTCAACTTGACCTAGAGTTTCTTAACCTAGGATCCATTGACTCTTAGAAGCAATTAGTGGAAACCTTGTGTATTTTTTATTTATGACTATGAATTCTTCTGGGAAACAGTCCCTTCTTTGGCTTCATCAGATACCCACAGAATGACTCACAGCTCAGGTCATGACCTGAGCAGTGCTGCAATGTTATTTTTTTGCAGAAATTTCCAACAATGCACAGTGTACTGGAGATCCTTCCCATCCACAAGAGCTGCTTCTATGCAAGGAATGGGCACCCTAATGAACAAGCCCTGTATTTCAACTTTATATAGTAAGTTCCTTCTTTAAATGAGGACAGATTTGATTCACATTTGGTAACAGGAACCTAGAGCTGTCAACACAGACATTTATACTTGTCACAAAGGCCCTAAAATAGCACTTGAAGCCAGCCACTAGATTCCATAAAGCTGATGCCTTAATGGAACCATTCTTCCCCTATTGCAAAACAGTCTCCATGTTGATAAACATGTTGTCAACTGTAACAAAGAAATCTAGGTTTGGGTTTTATTTTGCTTTGTTTAATAGTAGCACTTCTGTCTTGCAGGGAGACATGTTTATATTTTCAGATTAATATTACACTGGTTTATCTGAAGTTGAGTTTTAAAGGATGAGAGCCTGTATTCCTCTGTAGAAGTCAGATTAATTCACACTGTTTTAAAGAAATGAATACAAACTGGTTTGATAGCTACTCTGCTAGTGGCTAGCTGTACTGAGAGTTTTAGCAGTTAATTTGGAAACCCAACAAAATCATAGCAAGTGAAATAAAACACAACACTTCATATGCAGAGATTTCTGATGGCATCTATACTTAGCTACTCCTTCCTCCTCTTCTTTTCTTCACCATCTGAAAGTCTTCTGAGCTCAAAGCAGGGAATTTACTCTGTATCCAGCTTCCTTTGAACACTCAGTATCTTGAACAAATGTCAAGTAATTAAGAAAAGACAGAATCTAACTGTGAAGTCAGGACTGACACAAAATAAATAGAAAGTAATGTCAAATGATAGGTAATTAAGCGTTATGAAGTGCTGACTCAGATGTTATCTGAGTTTAGAGAACAGAGAAGGCATCACTGGTTTGATTATGGTAATAGATTTGAAGTAGAGATAAAAATTTGAGTGGGACCTTGAGAGAAGATGGTAGTGATAGTACTAAAACCAGCACCATTAATAGAAAAAATATAGTGCCAAGTTTTACAACCTACTGCCAACAAACGCTTTGTATGAATTATCTCATTTGATCTTCAGAGTAAGCCATCTCACTGGTGAGAAAATAGGGCCAGAGAGGTTGAGGACTTTGACCAGTGAGGGAATCAGGCTTGTCTGCAATCCAAGCCTCTGTTCTTTTCAGCAAACTACATATACCACCTCTCCAAGCTGTGGGCAACAGCAACCTTCATCTTCTCTTGAGGAGTTGTGTTTTGATATTTTGAAATGGGAAAATTAAAGCAATCAGATTCAGTAAGAGCCATTCTCTGGCTCCTAGTCATCCCCTAGACTCTCAAAAAGTAGTCAGAGAAGATCTGGTCATGCATCTGACTCAGTGTGTCTTAAACCCCCTAAAGAGTGGAGCAAGAAGTAGGGATTTCTACAAACTAGAAACAAAAATGAGAGGCCAAAAGGAAAGCTTCCACACCCCAAGTAGAAAGAGGCAAGGAAATGTCTAGTTTTCTAAGAGACTCCAAGTGAAAATAAGGGGCCTCAATGAAGTCACATGGATGTCTGAGAAATTAAGTTTACATGCTACTACACCTAAGATCACAGGTGATGCAATCCAGTTTAACCATAGGATATGTGATACCCAGCCTCCAAGATGGTCCCATTTATCCCACTTCCTAAATGCACACTCTTGTGTAGTCCCCTCCCATATTACACCAAGGTTGTTTTGTATGATCAAAAGCATGTGATAAAAGTGACGGGATGTGTCTTCTGAGATTAGATTACAAAAGACTGTGACTTCTCTACTGCTTTCTCACTGAAGCCCACCACTATATTATCCATGTTATAAGCATCCCTATGGAGAGACCACATGGTGAGAAACTAAAGTTTGACAACAAGCATGTGAATGATCTTGGAAGCAGATTCTCCAACCTGAGTCAAATCTTCAGATGACTCTGGCCTGGGAGAGCTTCACTGCGACTGCGTGAGAGATCCAGAGTCAGAACCACTGACCTCAAGCTGCTACCAATTCCTGACCTCAGAAACTGTATGTGATAATAAACGTTTGCTGTTTCAAACTAAATTTTATATTACATCTTAGGTAGCTAATCCAGGGTAAAATGGGCCTTGCAAATGGATGGAAGAGAGGCTCCTGACAGCAGAGAAAAAAAAAAACTCCTGCCTCTGAAACCAAGCAGGAACCTATGGGGCTCCTAGACACAGAAGCCTTTCCGTGTCTCCCACTTCTTGTTTGTAGGGAACAAACTCCAGTCTCCAGGACCTTCGCTGCATCCCAATGGGTAAATTCAAACAATTGCTAATCAGGAAAGGGAGAGA